GGGCAGGCGGGAATCGAACTCATGCGCAAGTGGCTTTAGATTCTCAGTGCTGTGCTTTAACCCGCTGCGCCACCAGGGAGGGCCTGGCTCCCCTATTTTAGCACCAGTCCATTACAAGCTGGGCTCACTGTGTGTGACCCCACAGCCAGGTGTCTCCACTCCTTGGTGCCAGGGTGGACACCCTTGCCCGGGAGCCCCCAGCTGAAGTCACCACCTCATAGCAGCTCCTGAGCGCTGGGGATCAATCTCCTCGCAACAGAACAGGGAGCCCACTGGAGTCTGACCCTGCTCTTCCTCACCCCAGCCCTTTCAGAAGCCCCGACCAGGAGGGCCTGCAGCCTCTTTTCAGCACATCCTTGGGAGTTCAGAGCTCGGTACCTTATAGTTTTTATCTAAGTGTCTTGAAATCGAGTGACTCCTCTGCTCCGAAGTGGGTTGCACCTGCAGAAGGGTCGGTTCTGTTTTGTTCAATTCCTTCGCCTTTGACTGGGCATCTTTTATAAAGATTTTACTTATGCATACAGAAATGGGAAACCGGCCAGAGTGCAGGGGCAGTGAGATGATTCACCAGACAAGGGGGAGAAGAACGGACAGAGCGACCAAGTACACTGCTGAGGGGAGCAGCAGGTGGGTCAGGAGAGGTCTGCTGGTAACTGGGCATCTTCTAAAGACCATAAATAGAGGGCCCACGACCTCTTCACATAGGGAGACCTGAGGGGACCAGGGACATCTGAGCCCTGGTCACTCCTCTCAGTGACAAGCACTTACTACTGCGAACCTTTGAGGAACATCCTGCCATGAGTAGCCTGAGCAGGGGTGCCCTGCCCGGGGAATGCCTGCTGCTCTTTGCCACAGACCTCACCACTCCCAGCTGCCCCTCTGCATTTGCTGCCTGAGCCTGTGAGGAACCCCACACCGGCTTCTCTGTGTTAGGGGGAAAGGGTGTCCTGAGAAAACTCTACAAACAGGTTTTATAGCCTCACCCCCAACCCAGACCAAAGAGATCCAAGATCCCAAGGACTACAAACCCCATAATGTCACCACCCCCAAAGGGAGGATTGCTGGGAACTGAGGGCCAACTGAGGACGGCATTCAGCAGTCAGGCTTGGTATAAATCCAGACAGGTAGGCCTTGGGGGTCTTGGCTTTTCACCCACTCTCAGCGTGCTATTGGGGTCCCGGGCCAGTGCCCCCGTGACGAAGCAGACCTCTCCTGACCCGCCGGCTGCTCCCTTCAGCAGTGTATTTCAGTAGATCCACCTGTTCTGCTCCACACTGTCACCCCCCCCCATCTCTGACCTATGCCCCAGCTCCTGTATGCATAAATAAATAAAGCTTTAAAAAAAACACTGGAGGGTGGACTTCCCCCAGATTCCCAAACAGGCCTTCCTAAGACTTACCACTTGGCACATGACGGGCTGAGATCAGTCAGGGCCTACAGACACAAGAGAAACCTTTCCCACGCCCTTAACTGCCTAGAAGGACGAGCATTGGGACTACTACCCAGACTGAGGCTTACCGCTGCAAATATTCTTTCCCTAGGATAAACCCTTCTATATGTGGGACAAACCTCTAGCCAGGAACCTGCCCCTCCTCTCACCCCAGTCCTTATCCCACCCCCTAGCTCAGGACAAAACCCCACTGACTTTAGAGTTTACATCCATATCCAAACAGACCCTCCACACAGACCTTTTTTTAAAATGAATAATATCATAGTTTATTTTTACATCATTTTGTGCCTTTTTCCATCTCAGCTGTAACCCCCATGGGGTTCCCATCACCAAATCACCCGTGTGCCGTCACCATAGTCCAGTGCATTTCCCTCCCCCCACTGTTTTTGATCCCA